GGATCCAAATCTGCGAAGGGGGGATCCATATCCGCCAGCGGATTTGGACCCCCCCGGTCCAAAATGTGACACCGCTGTGACACCGGCATTCCAGGAGAGAAATCAGGGCTGAAATACCCAAGCCACTCCAATCTTTGCTTTCCATGAATCAAGTAAACCTTTTTAAAAGTTAAAATTTATAACAATTTTTAATAACTTTCGATTCTAATTCGTTACGCTAACTAATTTTGGTTTCAATTTGTAGAACCCGCGAAACAGGCCATGTGGCAAGGGGAAAAATTTGCACAATCACGTCACGCAATATATCAAGCCAGGTTTGTCCAGTTGATTTTGATAGTCGCACGGAAATGTCGAGTTTGTAGCTCAAAATCATTGTGGTCCATAAGAGCGTAACATCACTAACATGATTAAAGATGGAAACAAATCTGAGGAAAGGAGGGCTGGATCATTGGGGTCCGTGAACTAAATCTCGGGAGAAACTGCACGAATTATTTCAGAGTGTATGCGCGTTGTTTTGTAAATCTAAACACTGTAACCTATTTTAACTTGTTTTTGTGTCCTTTTAAGCAACGCGATATGTCTGCTATGACCAGAGTGCCAAATGTTATTCTTTAATTTTGATCTTCTCCACACTGCGCGTAGTTCATGACCAAATATTTCAATGTAAATTATCGAGAAGGCGCCTTCCGATCACCTTTATCTTCTTTGTAAGTCACGCAGGCGCGCAAGCGTTACGACCGATCACGTTTACGCAACGTTTTAGGACAACTCGAAGATAAACGAACGAAGTTTGAACGGTCAAAAGGAGATTTTGGTCAATTTTCAGAATCATGCAAATGATCTTTGACACCAGCGCAATTGAGCAATCATGTGGATTTCAGTTGTTTTTAGGAGTGGATGGAAGCTAGAGGTAGACCCGCGGTTTGAGGACATCCGTGACCTCATTGGTATATAGAATATGCACTGATATGCTTTTTCAGCCCGATTAACGCCTGCATTTTGAGAATTCTTTCCTACAAAGTAGTGAATTTTTGATATGCAAGTTAAGGTCGTCGAAGAGAAGGGTCTCCTCTGATCACGCTGGTATGAAAAATATTTCAGCTGAAGTTTCCAGATTTTGTTTGCGAACTAACTGAATACATCTTGTAACTTGTAGTAAGATAGAATTCCGTTAGATTCATTGTAAGTTGTAGTCGCTGCGCGCTGGACAAAATCTTTGAAACTTACCCCTTCGATGGCTGTCCACAGGGGTGGTCTGGCCAAGAATCATGTCTGACTTGTGGCGACACAAAAAAAGAGAATTAGAGAACAACTAAGCCATTTATGAAACATGTGCCCTAAACCCTTTTGATGGGCAGAAAATAAAAGAAAACTTTTTTTCCGACGGGAAGTCGAGAGGACCGCTTTTAGCGAGAGCAGCACTTAATAATATTATTATTTTCTCTTGGTAACAACTATGCGCGTGTTTTAAATTGCTTAATAACATCCTCCGCTGATGTTCAACTGCTAAAATATAAATATCAATGTGGTTTTCTTCTCGAGCTTGAGCCAACTGATTTTCGTGTCTTTTGTTTATTTCAAGCATTAGACTAGCCTCATAATCGAGCTTTTCCTTAAAATCATGTTACTGAAATAGCAGTTATGGCAGCTTTAGCAATGATTTGACTTCTCAGTAGTGCTCTGACAAGATTCTCTCCTATCCCAATCATTTATTCCCTTTAGAAACTTTCTCAATGACTGCCTCTCTGATGGAGGAAAGAAAAAGGGCACAGGAGCCTCCCATGAAAGCTTTCTGATCTTTCGTGGTTTTGGGCCACTCACTGGTTCTACTGCTTCGTCTTCGCAGCTTTCCTCCGACGACATATAATGTAACGCGTCTAGGGAAGACAGAATTTCTCGTGCCCTTTTCTTGTCTCCATCAGTTTGCTTTTCGGAAAAGCAAACTGAGGAATATGAAAGTGAAACTGGATGACGCGTATGTGGCCGGACTAACTAAAAAGCAACGTCGCACAAGTGCACGTGTCAACCGGACTGAGGATGAATCACCACGCCCTCACCCAACTAACGGCCCTCGTTGGGCTGTCCGCATAGACTAATTCAATACATTTTCAGAACATTTAACATTTCATACAAACCAGCTGTAAGTTTTTCTTGATGTTCATTTGTTAAGTAAGGAATTTCAGGCATGTTATGTTCAAATGACGAG